ATGCATTTTCTATTTTACTTTTTGAAAAATACACTTCATTAATTATGAATTGACTTTTTTATCCAATATATTTCAATAATAAAGATTTAATTCAAAATTAATATATAAATTCGTAATTAATAAAAATCCCTAAAAATAATATCATTAAAATTATTTTGTTTAAGATAAATGTGCCCGTTGAGATAAATATGTTATTTTGTCATTTAAATTTTATAATAACAAAGATAAATATGTGAATTATGATTTGTTTTGACTTTATTATGAAGTTTATACAGAACTTTTGTTAGCATAAAATAGAATCATAATTAGAAACTGATATTTGATTTATGAATCAGCAAACCTCTCTTAATGAGATAAGAAGAATAATCTGTAAAAAGAGAACAAAATTTCAGGTATGGAGGAGAAGAAACCAGAGGAAAGAGACGACGCATTACATTATTAAAAAATATTATGCAGATATTAGTGATATAAAATCAAAAAAAGATATTGTGCAGATATTCTTATCCCTTCTCACGATTTTTTTTAAGTCAGTTTTTAAAATAATATATTAGAAATAGATAAATATCAAGAATGGGCAATTATGTAAATTTATGTTTATATAAGTGTATTTTTCAAAAAATAAAAGTGAGGGTGTAGTTTTCAAATTTTATTCTTATTGGAATGTATATTTCCAAATTTTCCCTTATAAAAATCTGGCAAATTTACTTCTCAATTAAAAGCATATATTATCTCTTCTACTTAGCTTTTTATTTGGTACTATCAATTATTGTTGTGATCTTCTTACAGCGGTGTAGGTTAGCCAAACTACTGGGAAAATGGCTTAACTAGAACAAATACTATCACTAGCAGGAATATATAATTTGATAGGGCATAGGTTTCTTTCTTCTAAATCTTGTAAATGATTAAGCAAACCTTTATGAGAGTTAGTTTGCTTGTCTGCGTAGATAATCATCTTGTTATATTTGTTGCTCTTTTCTTTTTATATGCATTCATATGTCTGACTCTGACCATGTTTCATGTGAAGATAAAGAAGATGCTGATCTACGCAGTCAAGAAAGCATTTGAAGAACTAGAAGAAGTATCAAGAGAGACTGATACGGGAGATAAGAATCAACAAACTACCCCGTTGTTGATATACAACCGAAGAAAGAAGTGAGTTTTGTGTGTGTTTTAATTAGAAGTTTATGGTTTTGAAGTTTTTACACCTTTTTAGTTTAAACTCTGGTAATTAAATAAATAAATAAAGAATAATCATCATTCCAGGACTAATCGTGCGGTTAATGAAGTAACAACAGTATCAGGGGAGACTGATAGTGGAGATGATCAGATAAAGAAGTGAGTTTTGGTGTTTCTTTGTGCCTTGAAATTATGATTGGCCTTAGTTTCTTATTATTGATATAATCATCTTTCCAGGACTAATCGTGAGGCCAATGAACCAGTAACCGTATCAGGAGAGACTGATACTAGTTTCCACACTTCTCTTGAACATCCGATGACAGGTAACTTTGTACACACCCAATCTCGATTTAGGTTTCATTCTTCTGATTACAAATGTGGTGTTTTTACCTTTCAGGTTCCGACGAAATGGACTCTCACGATCCAAATCTCCCTCCTAGATTGTTCGCTACAGATCATTTCCCCAGGAACACCCTAAACATCTATACCAAACTAGACATGCTGACGCTTCTGCACCAAACTCTCAAAGGCACCAAAGTCTGGGAAACTATCAGGGGATCATGCTTTGGGAAGCTATTTGAACTTCCACTCAACACATGCCCAGTCTCCTGCATGCTTATTCACTCTCTGCTCACCCGTCAGCTCATCACTGAAATGAAGTATGTTCTGTGGACAGTGTTTGGTGGACACCCTTTACGGTTTTCTCTATTCGAGTTTGGAGAGATTACTGGGTTGAACTGCGGGAAATTCCCTGCGGATCACGACCCAGACGACGATCCTAAGCATACTGGTAGTGTTGATCCTTGCTGGAAACAACTCATTGGAGACAGCACAAAAACCACACTTGCAGACATAGCGTCTATGCTGGAGGAAGACAAGGACAAGGAGGAAATGTCGTATTCCCGGAAGCTCGGGCTTGCGCTGATTTTAATTGTTGATGGTGTTCTCATCAGCACTTACCAGGTCAATCGTCCGACTCTGAAGTACGTACGGATGGTTGTGAAAGATGTTGACGCTTTTCTAGCGTTCCCTTGGGGCCGTGAGTCTTTCCTCCGCACTATCCGTTGCATGAAACCAGCTTTGCCAAGTACCGAAGACACCATAACCAAGTTTCAAAATAAGCTCAAACAAAAATACAGACTACAAGGTTTCCCTCTCGTTTTGCAACTCCTAGCGTTCCGTGCTATTCCAGCCCTTCTCGCCAAGTTGCCCGCCTCAGAATCATCACACACACTTCTAGACTTGACGGGTATCAATATCCCCAAGTATCCTGTCCTCACTTTGAGAGATGTGCTTGAGGTGGAAAACCAACCTGAGGTAAAACTTTATCTCCTAACTAACTATCATTGTTCTCTTCTTGACTTGAGATAATACATCTGTGCTTGAAAAAAATATATCTAGTATATAAGATAGATAGACCACTCCCCTTATCATCAATTGGTTTTAGGTTGGAAACCCATCTAACTTAACATGTGTTTCATCTATTGTTTTTTCACAGCTGAAGGTGTCTCCAATCCTTGATGTTGCACATAAACGATCCAAGTATTGGGGGAAATGGAGTGACGAAACCAGTGACACGAGTGTTGCCTACCTTGAGCACCTCGTAAGAACTGACCACCATTTCAGCAAGACAAGTTGGCATGGTGGAGATGCTTCTGAGCGTTTGCTTGTTTTTCCTGAAAAGATAATTGAAGTTGCTCATAAGAAACATATCGTTGAGCGAAAAAAAGGGGTATCTCCTTCCAATTTTCGCTCAAAGATTTCTTATGTCCCTGCTAATCGTGAAAAGCAGAAATGCTTTAGCACTGCAACGGTTCCGTCAAACCAAGACTTGCTGGAGAAGGTGGATGAACTCAAGCTTGAGAAACAGAAGAAAAATGCTATACTGCGGAAACTCAGACGCAGACAACTATGCTCTGCAGTTGTCAAAAAAATTAAAAAAAAGAGGATTATGCTCTGTCCAAGGAAAAGAAAACCTTAAGCTCTATGGCTGCTCACTCGAAACGGAAGGAGACGAGGAAGGAAAAAAAAAGAAGAAGCCTAATTGATAAATGTTTTTTTTTGTAATATAGATCACTCTTATTAGTGTTACTACTTATTATAACTATGGAGTAGTACCAAGAGAGAAGCAAAGAAAAAGAAATACTCTCTATTTTGATGATTTGGTGGAGTGTCAGAGAAAATAGATGCTAAGTGAGATAACATAATTTAAACGACAATTTGTATAGTTTTCCACTAACTTTTCTGATGAAATACGCCAAAAACATCCGCACTATTTGCAACCAGAAACACTAAACACCCTCCCAAAAAAAGGTTAACCACAAACTCTAAACTCTTCGAAAAGTTAATAAACCCCCACTAACCAAACTTTTAAGCAGAAGTAGTAGTTACAAAAAAAAAAAAAAACAGAATTTACTAAACAAACAATTATACATATGTCAACTAACAGACTTACAAACACCATGTCATGGAGAAAACTTCGTAAAACTAGAATTTTAAAATAAAAAAGGTTAAATATATAATATAATTATCGAAAGAACCGTTCATATTAGTCAATTAAAATATTAATTATATGTCACGGTAATGCCGTTTCCAAACTTTTTAAAAATTACACAACATAAGAGTTTTTAAAAGTACCCATCCCCTTCTCTCTTTCTCTCTCTATTTCATTCAAGCCATTTTATCCATTGATCGATGCTAAGAATATAAACCCTAATTCATCTCTCTCTCTCTCGATTGTTAATCTTCTTTATGAAGTTCGGTCTTACAGTCTCGGGTATGTTCTGTTTTGTTTTGTTTGTTTGGTTGTTAATTGATGTTGGTTGCTGGTTCCACACGTGTTCTTCGCAGCTTTAATTTTTATTTTTAGAAAAATCGCGTTTTGTTTCTATTAATCGTTTTTTGTTGATTATTCCGGTTTTTGTGGAGTAGACAGTTTTACTCTAAAGCCCCATCTTTTTCTGTTTCCCTTGTTCTACCGTTTATTGCAATTCTCAGGATCCTTGTCTGAATAATTTTTTCTTTTTCTTCTTTAAATAATTTAATATTTTTTTCTGGGTTAAGATCCTTTCTTAGAGCTATAAGGTAATTAATTTTGATAATTTTTTATTTTGTTTGTTTATCCAATCAATGATTTTTTTTTTTTTATTCAGAAGAAGAAAGGTAAGAGATTGAGTTAGATAATAATTAATTTCATGGTGGATATGTGTGTTTATTGGCACTGATTCATTTTTTTTTTGTTTCTGGGAATTTTTCAGAGTTATCAGGTGAGGGTTGATCATGGATGTGACAGAGCTTGAGGAGAATCTCTTCGCTGCTAGCGATGCCAAGGTTCCTTTTCTTGTAATCAAATGTTTTCCATGTTACAATAGTAATTGAGTTATATCTTAGATGATGGATTTGGGTGGAGATATGTATGTTCTTTGTTATTTGATGATTTGCTCTGAATTTTATGTTTTATGGAAAACGCAGTTACATGGAGATATGTGTAAGGAACTATCTGGAGTTCTATGCAAGGTACTCTCAATCTTCCCTTCCTTAGAAGGAGCAAGGCCTAGGAGTAAATCAGGGATTCAAGCCTTATGCTCTTTACATATTGCACTTGAGAAGGCAAAGAATATTCTTCAGCACTGTTCTGAGTCTAGTAAGCTTTACTTGGTGCGTTTCCCTCTTTATAAGTCTTTATTCCTTCTCTCCCTCTTTGGACGCTTTTTTTTTTTTGTGCTTTGGTTTCTTTAATATTTTAATTACATTCTCCAATCTGAAACAGGCCATTACAGGAGATGCTGTCCTTTTAAAATTTGAGAAAGCCAAAGTTGCTCTAATTAACAGTCTCAAACGTGTTGAAGACATTGTTCCTAGCTCTATTGGGTCTCAGGTACTTTTTTTTATTTACTTCACTACAGATCATTTCGTTGTGATGATTAGAAAAAGTCCACGTGACCACGTCTTGTTGTTTGATAATAATGTTCTTCAAGGCTGCTGATCTCCAGAGATTTAATTTTTTTTTGATAAATGATGACTTTCAGATTTTGGAAATTGTTGGTGAGCTAGAGAACACTAGATTCTTGCTTGATCCATCAGAGAAAGAAGTTGGTGATCAGATCATTGCACTGCTCCAACAAGGGAAAAAATCAGACAACTGTAATGACAACACAGAGCTTGAGATTTTCCACAAGGCAGCTACAAGACTCAGCATCACTTCCTCTAGAGTGGCTCTAGCGGAAAGACGGGCTCTAAAGAAACTCATAGACAGGGCACGCGCAGAGGAAGACAAGCGCAAGGAATCAATAGTAGCTTATCTTTTGCATCTTATGAGAAAATGCTCAAAGCTATTCAGAAGTGAGATCATGGATGAGAGTGACTCTCAGGGCTCAGCACCATGTTCTCCCACTGTTTGTAATGAAGAGAATGGGAGTGTTCATGGGTTTGGTCGTCAGCTGTCTAGGTTTGGTTCTATGAACTTCAAGCCGCCCATCAACAGTCCGAGATCAGGACAGATGCCTGTTCCACCTGAGGAACTGAGATGTCCTATATCATTGCAGCTTATGTGTGATCCTGTCATTATTGCTTCAGGGCAGACTTATGAAAGGGTTTGTATTGAGAAATGGTTTAGTGATGGGCACAACACTTGTCCAAAGACTCAACAGCAGCTCCCACATCTCTCGTTAACTCCCAATAACTGTGTTAAAGGCCTTATTGCGAGCTGGTGTGAACAGAATGGAACTCAAATCCCGAGCGGACCGCCGGAATCTCTAGACCTTGATTACTGGAAACAAGCTCTCTCTGACTCCGAGTCCACCAACTCAAAGTCAGTAAACAGTATAGGCTCTTGTAACACGAAGAGCATACAAATTGTACCTTTAGAGGAGAATGGTGCTAGAGAAGAAAGTTTAGTGTCTGATGATGATGATGATAAGGAGGATTCTGATATAAATGTACTTGAGAGGTATCAAGATTTATTAGCTATCTTAAACGGAGAGGAGGAAATGGATAAAAAAGGAAAGGTTGTAGAAAAGATCAGGCTATTACTGAAGGATGATGAAGAGGCCAGGATTTTCATGGGAGCAAATGGGTTTGTTGAAGCTCTGTTGCGGTTCTTAGGATCAGCTGTAGATGAGAAAAATGTGTCAGCGCAGGAAAGAGGAGCTATGGCTTTGTTCAACTTAGCCGTCAACAACAACAGGTTAGTTGTTTTTTATCTTACTAACACATTGATTCTTAAGTATTCTTAGACTAAATAAGATTCATTGCATCTATCTAGCTTCGGCTACATCATAGTCCCTCATGTTCATGTTGGTAATAGTAGTAACAGATTGTGACTTTCTCATTACGGTCTGCAGGAACAAAGAGATGATGCTAACTTCTAGTGTAATTCCACTGCTTGAGAAAATGATCTCTTCTTCTCAGTCTCAAGGTTCAGCAACCGCGCTTTATCTGAATCTTTCTTGTCTTGAAGAAGCCAAACCAGTGATAGGTTCAAGCCAAGCAGTGCCTTTCCTTGTCCATATTCTTCAAGGGGAAGCTGATAACCAGTGCAAGCTCGATGCTCTCCACACGATCCTCAACCTGTCCACATATCCTCCCAACATCTTTGCTCTCCTCTCATCTAACATCATCAAGACCCTCCAAGGCCTTCTCTCATCAGCAGGTGAACATTTGTGGATAGAGAAGTCATTAGCCATATTACTAAACTTAGCTTCAAGCCAACAAGGCAAAGACGAGGCAGTGTCATCACAAGGCATGATCAGCAGTCTAGCAACAGTGCTAGACATGGGTGACACGTTAGAGCAAGAGCAAGCTGTTTCATGTCTTTTGATACTATGCAACGGAAGACAGTCTTGTATTCAAATGGTGTTGCAAGAAGGTGTGATACCATCACTAGTGTCAATCTCAGTGAACGGGACTCCACGAGGTAGAGAGAAGTCTCAGAAGCTTCTGATGCTGTTTAGGGAACAGAGGCAGCAACGAGACCAGCCATCACCGAAGAGAGATGAGGAGGTGCCGCAGAAGGAAGCTCCTAAGAAATCTTTGTCAGCACCAATGTATGTCCATGAATCAGCTCAACCTTCAGGTCCAGGTCCGGAATTTGAACCAAGAGTTTTGTCGAAATCGATGTCGAGGAGAAAGTCGTTGGCAAGGCCGTTTAGTTTCTTCTGGAAGAAAAGCTACTCCACTCGCCAGTGAGTGAGTGAATGAGTGAATGATATGGACAACTTTTGTATGTAAAGCTTTGTTTGTTTTTCTTACAAGTTACAAAAAACGTCATCACATAGAGAAGAAGATATGTACAGGCCACATTGTGATTACACTCGATTTTGCTGCTCTTTTGGTTAGCCAAAAATGTATATGAAAGTTAATATAATAAAACAAAACCTTAAATTTTTAACATAATTACACAAGCTAAGAGGATAGTTTTAAGGTTTTACCGGCTTGCAGTAATCGAGATTCATCTAACCATATTATGGGAGCCATGAATATTCGATAAAGTCTATCACCTTTACATATCAATATAAAAGGTTGATATAGGCGATAGAGTGCATAAAAAACCTGTACATACCAGAAGTGATGTTTGTAACAGATTATTCTCAATTGGTGAAGACAGTTTTTTACCTATGACCGACATTCACTACTCATCTCGAAGAATTTCAGCACAATTAGGAGTTCTTTCCTAATTTTGACATCCAACATACTCCAAATTCCAAGAGCAAAAATACAATGACGGACAAGATTACACGTAGTGCTTGGAATCTCCCTTCAGTTATGAGCTATGTGTATGTTGTTTATCTGATTTGGCTTTCTGAATTGGTGATTAGTTAGAACTTAGAAGTAGTTTTTAGTTTCTGTTGGAAAAAAAAAAACTACACAAGCATGTTTAAAACAACCTTAATAGTTTCTTCTGTTTAATAAAAAAAACATAAACATTTACTGAATTAACGGTTACATAAAATATGATATTTACAAATAGATGAAAAACATACAAATTATAGTCTATTGGTTTGTGCTTTTAGGTGGTCTCCTCATAGGAATCAGAACGAGAGCATGTAAGTGAATCAGCACTTCGACTACTTCTTTTCATGGGCTTCTGGATCCAACCATTCTCAAACAGATCCAAGATTGGATCACCACGGTTGCTGCTACTATGACCAGTGCTTACTTCATCTTCACCGCTGCTTCCTCTCTGTAAAACCTCCTTGTAAGTCACTCTTTTCCCATCATTCCCCATTTTCATCTCTTCTTCAAACATTGATGATCCTGTTCTGCTGAAACTCCTATCCACCGTGATGTCTTTCTCATTTTCCCCCTTGTTCTTGTCTCTCCAATGGCCTAACACATTCACAAGGTAATCAAGACAGTAAATGGTGTGGACCAGGATCATGTCTACCCACACAGCTCTGTTCATCATTCTTGGAAGTTTTTCAAGAAACGCGCCGAGTTTTGATGGTAGAGACTCTGATTTTGTTAGTATATTGGAGAGTTTGTGGAAGAGGAAAGTGGTTGAAGGGAAGTAGGTTTCGATTGCGAGGATGTGGTCGTCTGCTACGGAGAGGAGAGCGAGAAAGTGGCGGTGAATGGGAGTTGTGATGGAGGCGAAGAAGAAGATGAGGTGGAAGAGTTTCTGCACAAGGTAAGAAGCTGGATTCTTGGGAGTCTTGACTCTTTTGTAGACGGTGCGGGACATGGAGAGTATGGTTGCACCACATGTCTCAAGTGGCCTTGGTCGTGGTATCTTTCTAGCTGTTTGTTCCTGTCAAAAATACATTGTAATATTAACTAACATGGCAAGAGAGTATTCGAGAAATGAGCAGAGAAAATTACATACCATCTTTTGAGGAATGAATGCTGATTCAGAGGAGAACAAGAGTTCTTTGTAAATTTTTGTTGAAAATGTTGAGAATTTTTTTTCGTATTGGGTTTGAGTAATTTTATAGGAAGCCGATTTAAACGTAAGGAGAAAAATAAGCGGTTAAACTCGATTTCAGCTGGAGCGCTTGTTTGAATTAGCGGTTAGGCTTTTTTCTTCTTTCTATCCCATTTTCGTACCAAATTACTTTTTTTAGTAAGATTCACTAATATTTCTATATCAAAATTTCTAGATAAGGGAATGTGTGTTTCGAATCCCAAAAACTAGTTATTAATAGATATACAGATTAATAAAAAAGTATTTTCTTTCGTAATTTAATAAAAAAATATATACCAATTTTTTTTTATATGTAATAAAATCATCAAACGCATATCTAGTAGTGGGCATTCGGGTTTTCGGATGGAGTGGATTTGGATTATTCAGTTTTCAGATTATTCGGGTTAGGATGTTTAGAAACCGTTTAAGAACCGAGAATTTTTCTGATCGGATTAGTTCGGGTAATGTTAGGTTCGGCTCGAGTTTCTAGTGTTTTATAAAATATAAAGTGGAACCGAATTAGAAATAGTTCGAGTTTAAAATCCAAAAATAAATGAAAAACCCGAGTTAAACCCGAAAAAACCAGAAAAATATTCTGGTAAATTGGGTTTTTGAATATTTTTTATTTAAAATTAAAATTTATATATATTAAACTAAAAATAATTAGTAATTTTATTCTATTTGTGTTGATATCAATTTTTTTTGGTTTAATTTTTGGATTTAGGATAATATGCCTAGGACTACACATATCTTTATAAAGTGTTTTGTGTTGATCCAAGTAAAAATTTCGAACTTGAATCTTTATTAAAACAAGTAGAACTGTTGATTAAAAAAAAATCTTTACATAATAATTTTCATGGTTAATAATAAGTATTATTAATTTAAAAAACTCCCATTAATCATCTAATATGATATGTTACCGTGTGGAAGCTGTATCTTTTACACAATGACGAAATGTAACAACTTTTGGGCCTTAAAATATTTTAAGGGATCAACATCAAAAAATGTGTTTATTTAAAAGTGTTGGAAAGCACACCACTAGCTACCACTCCTTTTCAAACTGTTATCTTAATAATAAGAAAGAGAATCCCCCAAAGAAAGGGGAATCCGAATCTTTTATGACACACACATCTATGCATTAGTATTATTGTTAGTACACATGAGACCGAGAAGCTGTGCGAATCACCGACAGCCAACTTAACCTCTAACCTCCTCCGGACATAGATCTGTTTCTGTTCCTTGACTTTCCTCCTTTCCTGATTTAGATTTGGAAGGAGGAGAAAAATGAAGTTGTTGCCGCGGGAGATAGAGAAGTTAGGTCTTCATCAAGCTGGCTTCCTTGCTCAGAAGCGTCTTGCTCGTGGTGTTAGACTCAACTACACTGAAGCTGTTGCACTCATTGCCACTCAGGTCTGCTCTGTTTCGAGGACATAGATAGAGTCAATATGTTTACTACTACTGCCTCATCATTTGACTTGCTTTTGTTCAAAACTGGTTGTGTAGATTCTTGAGTTTGTTCGTGATGGTGACAAAAGTGTGGCTGAGCTCATGGAACTTGGGAGACAACTCTTAGGAAGGTGATATAGGATTGATGAACTCTATATATAGTTTGATGATGATTCTTTAATCTTGAATACTATTGCATTCTTGTTTGTAAACAGGAGACAGGTTCTTCCTGCTGTTGTACATCTTCTGTATACAGTTCAGGTGGTGGTTTCATTCATTCTCAATGCTTTTAGCTTTTTTGCTTTTGCCTTTTCTTCAGGTCGTGTAATGTAACTAGTTAAGGTGTTTTATAGGTTGAAGGGACATTTCATGATGGTACAAAGTTAATCACCGTTCATGAACCCATTTCTCGTGAAAACGGCAACCTTGAACTAGCTTTACATGGTTCTTTCCTTCCAGGTTCGTCGTTTTGATCTTGCCTAAGTATCATGTTGATTTAAGTGATATCTATATCTTAGTATTCATGAAGAAGTAATTACATTGTTCATGTGAGAGATTATGATATGATTATGGTTCGTTTTTGCAGTCCCTTCACTAGATAAATTTCCAGAATCTCATGAGGAAGTAATCCCTGGAGATATAATATATGGAGATGGAAGTATAATAATAAATCATGGAAGGAAAGCAATAGTCCTGAAAGTTGTCAACACTGGAGACAGACCAGTACAGGTGTGTTCATTTTTCACTTCAACTCTCACTGGCTTTATAGAGTCACTTAGTCTCTCTTTTCAGGTTGGGAGTCACTACCATTTCATTGAAGTGAATCCATTGTTGGTGTTTGACAGACGCAAAGCTCTTGGTATGCGTCTAAACATACCAGCTGGAACAGCTGTTCGATTTGAGGTTGGAGTTCTGCCCTTATCTTTATCCTGTTTCATTTCTCATATACAGCAACTAGAAAGCTCTTTAGCATCTCTTCTCTCTAGACAGTGTTTGTCCTGGCACTGAAATTCAGAGAAACCAAGTTTAACATTATAAAACCTGAAAAAAATTGTTTACAAGAAAAGGTTTGGTTGTCATAATCTTTATGGATTCTTTGCTGTTGCCATTAACTTGAGATCATGGCTAAAGTATGATGAGCTTTTAGTCCTACTATTAGTGAAAATTTTATGTGCTTATTGTAGCCAGGAGAAAGGAAAAGCGTTGTACTTGTGAATATTGGTGGACATAAAGTGATAAGAGGAGGAAATGGAATTGTTGATGGTCCGGTTGATGATTTCAGTTGGACAGTTTTTATGGAAACCATGGAGAGGAGAGGCTTAAGACACCTAGAAGAAGGAAATGCTAGGTTAAATCTTTATGTTCCTTACTTGCTACAATCAACAAAATCAAGTTTTAATTGGTTGCTTTTGCAGTGAAGGGATCTCAGGGGAAGATCCTAGATTTACTACCACACTATCACGCGAAAAGTATGCAAATATGTATGGTCCTACCACTGGCGACAAGCTTAGGCTAGGTGATACCAACTTATACGCAAGAATAGAAAAAGATTACACTGTTTATGGCGATGAATGTGTATTTGGAGGTGGGAAAGTTCTAAGAGAAGGCATGGGACAAGGAATAGAGAATTCTGAATCTATTTCCTTGGATACTGTTATTACCAATAGTGTGATAATTGATTACACAGGAATATATAAGGCAGATATTGGCATTAAAAATGGTTATATCATTGGTATTGGGAAAGCAGGCAATCCAGATACCATGCATGGTGTGCAGAGCAATATGCTTATTGGGGTAATTTAGTTAACTATTTAAAACACAGTAATATCATTGTTGGCTGCTTATCTTCTCCTGTTTATTTTCTTAGGCTAAGACTGAGGTTATTGCTGGAGAAGAGATGATTGTAACGGCAGGAGCTATAGATTGTCATGTGCATTTCATATGTCCTCAACTGGTATATGAAGCAGTGTCAAGCGGTGAGCACAGTAGTCATGTATAGGGGGAGAAAACATTAAGTTTGCAAGCTTCTTTCGTTGCTGATTTTGATCACTTGCCTCTCATTTCATAGGCATTACAACTATGGTTGGAGGAGGAACAGGGCCTGCTTATGGTACACGTGCTACTACTTGCACACCTTCTCCGTTCGATATGAAGTTGATGCTGCAGTCCACGGATGATCTGCCTCTAAACTTTGGGTTTACAGGGAAGGTATGATATGCTTGTTATATAATCTTTCTTGCACTTATTCAGACAGATAAATATCTGACAAGAACTCTTACGGTATTTTTGTTAGGGAAATACCTCTAAGCCTTTGGAGCTTCGTCAGATACTGGAGGCTGGAGCAATGGGGTTGAAGCTCCATGAGGACTGGGGAACTACTCCTGCTGCTATAGACAATTGTTTAGCTGTTGCAGAAGAATATGATATACAAGTATTCCTATTTTTTGTAACTAAACAAGGAGTTTCCCAAATATACTAAAACTGTTTGAATTTGACAGGTGAACATTCATACTGACACCTTAAACGAATCTGGTTTTGTGGAGCACACGATCGATGCATTTCAAGGGAGGACAATACACACTTACCACAGGTTCATCATCATCTTACCCTTAATGTACCTTCTAAAAGTCACTGCCTATATTTGAAGCAAATACTGAAGTGCTATTTTTGTTTGTTGAATCCTTGTGGACAGTGAAGGTGCTGGTGGTGGACATGCGCCTGATATCATCAGAGTTTGTGGTGTAAAAAATGTACTCCCGTCATCAACCAATCCAACACGGCCGTATACTAAAAATACCATAGATGAACATCTTGACATGTTGGTATGAGAATTTAACAGAAGTATACTACTGATAGTGAATTAATTTACTTATTTGTGCTGTTAATAAACTCATATGAAAACACAAGCAGATGGTTTGCCATCACCTTGACAAGAACATACCAGAAGATGTAGCTTTTGCTGAATCAAGGATAAGAGCTGAAACAATAGCAGCAGAGGACATATTGCATGATATGGGAGCAATCAGTATTATTTCCTCTGACTCACAAGCAATGGGTCGCATTGGAGAGGTTCATCCCCTTTAAACCTTAAAACATTTTTTTGTGAAATCAGTACTTGAGAAGATTATCGGTTCTGATTAAGTAGCTGTTTCTCTCTTTGTAGAGTCTATTTAGCTGAAAACTTCCAAACTTGTTCAGAAATTCATTATGGGAGAACTATTCACTCTCTTGTGTGCTCTTAATCTTTGCATTAAAGAACTGTGGTATCCTTTTGTTGTGCAGGTAATAAGCAGAACATGGCAGACTGCTGACAAGATGAAGGCTCAGAGGGGAGT